TTTAATAAATGACATAATTCATCTCTATGAAAATGTTTTATTTGACTTACACCAAATTAGCAAAACAACCTGCGGTGAGCTTGCCTATAAGCATAAGAATACATAAAAAACAAAAATGTTACCTTATGAATTCAACGGTCTCTCATTTCCTTGAAGACAATGAAAATCAAACCCCCGCGAAAATAAGTGATTTCACAGTGCCCTTTCTTTTATTAAGAGTCACCTGATAAAAGGTCAAGATTATTGATATACATGTACATACAATTTGTAGGGACATTGGAAATGTATTGCTTTTATTTTTTAAGATAATAACTTATACAATGGTACCATGTTAAAATGGTACATTGTTTTGTTAATAAACTTTGCTTCTTTTAATTTTGTCTTGCTGGCTTGTAAAGGAATTGAATATACCCTCCACAAATGAAGTTTGTTTTTGGGGGGTGGGGGTTAATAATGGAATCACCATGTCCATCTGTCTGTTGATCTATCGGTAGACAATATTTTCACAGACCATTTCTCGGAAACTATTGTAAGGATTTGTCTGATAACTTTTACACTTATTATTTACCGTATGAAGGTGTGCACCTGATATTTTTATTATGATTGGATGATTTTTCTCCATTTTACAGTTGTTTTTGCATTGAATAATCAAATTGAGATGACTAATCATAATAATTTGACCAGTTATATAATGATGTGAAATATCATAATGAGGAGACTAGTAATTAGGAGACTAGTTTTAGTGAAGTGACTAATCATTATGAGGTGACTTGTCACAATGAGGTGACTAATCTTAATGAGGTGACTAGTTATATAATGAGGCAACTAGAGTATACCTGGGCTATTATAGAGCCATATCAGTCCACACTATAAATGACCTAAATCCTCCTCAAGTTGAAGAAACAAGAATATCAACAGTCTCGTTTAAAGTCATCATTTCGTAAGTTCTATGGTCGATACAATGACCTTGTCAGCAAATACGATTTATCATTGAGTCAAATGCTGACTGACGTTTTTCATACCAATTGTTAGTCCATTATTTAAACACTGAATTGACGACGGATTTTTTCCGTTATTTTCTGATCATGACAACGAGCACACGGCGGGTGTGACCGATCGGCAGGGGATGCTCACTCCTCCATGGCACCTGATCCAACCTCTGATGTTTCGGAGGTCCGTGTTTGCTCTGCTCTTATTTTGTATATTGTTTAATGGACTTTGAGATTGAATACTGTTCTTTATCTCTATATCCTTCTTACTACTTACTGTATTGTTTATAATTTGAAGTATTTTACAGAAGCTACCATATCTATACAATACTTAACCAAACTTATATATATTACTTACTTAGTCCTCTTCATGCTTTGCGAACATAATGTCTGCACCTAGGACCTCCATCTCTGTCTGTCTGCTGACATTGACTGTACCAAACCCATCCCTGATCTTTCATTTCTTTTTCAACTGACTGTGCCATGTCTCCTTTGGTCGCCCTCTGTTTCCTCTTTCCTGGTGGACTCCATCTTAAGTCTACCCTTGGTATATCTGAAGGTTTTATTCTCATCACATGGTCGATCCATTTCCATTGTCTCTATTTAACCTGGTCAGATATAGCAGCTGTGTGCGTTCTTCTGATCTTCTTTGGCCAGAATATATTGAGTATTCTACTTCTTGTTTGGATTCAGGTATCTAGTTTTTGAGTGATGTTGTTTGTCACCTTCCATGACTCAGATCCATAAAGGAACACTTCAATGAGATTTGTTTTGAATATCCTTTTTTTTTTGGTCTTGGTTCTGATAATTGAAGATTTCCAGATGTTGCTTAGGTTGGCAAAGGTAGCATGGGCTTTTGCAATTTTCAACGTCCATGGTGGAATCTCCATTGGGTGTGATCTTACTGCCAAGGCTTATAAAATTGTCTACTTTTCCAAATATATTGTTGTTTGCTGTAACTTCCTTTTCTATCTTTGTATTTAACTTCATAGGTACGGTTTCCTTTATAATTCTGCACGGCGTTTTGAGGAAAAATTAATTTGAAGTTTCAACAATTTTTCCTTTATGAAATTATAGACTAACAAGAAGGTTATTTAAAAACAATGTTCAAATGAACTTATCTTTGCGCATGCGTAAGTTACAATGAATCAAAGTAAGGGCGATAACCCTTTTTTCGTATTTTTCAGTGTCCTTGTACATATATATTAGATAAATTCAATATCTCTGCCATCGTCGCCCGGAACTATTTTTGGTATATTGAAAGATTATTATAAAATGCATAATTTCTAAAAGTTTCATTCCGGGCGACATTGGCAGAAGGGTTGAAATATTAATGAGATCATTTTTTAACTACGGTCGTGCCGTGTTAAAACCACCGCGCATATTCAGTTCATTGAAGAGGAGACGACGATAACCAAGGCTACCATTTAATTATAAACATCTTTTTTAGTTTATTTCATAATATTAGAATGCTTTGATTTGTTACAATTTCTTATTTTTAAAAATCCGGATAAATTTGATCCATAAGTACGGAACGCTGACATTTTGGTTGTTATGGTTAGTGTAAACAGAGCAGTGTAAAGATAGGGCCAACGTTTAACAGATTCTTCCTGCATAATCCTGGGAACCAGGTAAGCCAATTAAGAAACATACAAATCAATAGAAAATCATTATATATTACGAAGCATTCAAAAAAAATTTCACATACTTAGACGTTTAAACAAAGGTAGTAAAGAGTGCAGTCACCTATGCAAGCTATGCAGCTTGCAAGTTGCAGACGACGCTGTGCCGTGTGCGTTAGATCTGCAGTATGCTTGATATTTTTGTGTATGTTTTGTGTATGATTAAAGGAATCCTTGAAAATTGCAAGAGCATGATAAAATGAACATGTATTTCAGCTTAAAGTGCTTGCAAGATGCTTATAGCTAGTTTTAAGACGGGACTGTTCCACCCTAGCTTTCAGTATAGATCATCTATTCATGTATATGACGCCTGTGGCTAAGATCTATCTTTTTATTATAATTATAGCAATGCAATTCCTGCATCTGCATTTTTATGGTGTTACATTTCTTGTGTATTGAAAACGTAAAACCATAATAGGCGAGGACGATACAGTTTTACCGTGATATGTTGTAAATAAAAACATCCACTCTACACTAAATGTCAAGAAGGGGAATTCCAATTTTAGGAAGGTACAGGGTAACTCAAAATTTTTGCCGATTTTATACAACAAGCATGAATTCTCTTTCTCTGGGAAATATGAATTTATATTTTCTTATTTATTTATTTTTTTTGTATATATGGTTTGGTTTGGGGCCTAAGTATAAATAAAATATAATATACTGAAATATTGAAATTAAAATGTATAATACTATTCTTTAAAAGAGGCAATGATCTGCATGAATTCAATTGAAATTATCAACTAGTATTTGATTGATCATATGACAGACTTTTACCATAGGCAAATGCAAATTCGGGGGATATAGTGAGGAGGGGGGGTCAACACACTATAAAATAAGTAAATAAATAGGTAAACCAAGAAAAAAATAAAAATGCATACCAGCTTTTTTCCATTTGTTGGGTCTTACATCGGATTTGCGTTGGGGATTGAGGCCAGGTGAATCAATATAAATTCAAATAAATAGACTCGATAAAAATTTAATAACAATAAAAAAAAATAATAATGAAACCTTACCATGCTAACCCAGAAAAAATTCTTAATTAAAAAGAGTGTGTTAAGCTGAAAAGTGTTAAAATGGGGTCGATTTTCTTTGATAAACCATATTTATTTTCAGGCTTATAATTGTTCTCTTAATTGTCTGATCATTACAAATGAGGGTACATGTAATAGCTAAAATTCAGCTTATTGTGTATGTCTGTAAATCATGATGTATTACGATCATTTTCAAAATTTAATCGATGAAGATGACCATGATGACGTGGACCTTTTGACTTATTGATTTAATTATTTTTTAAAAGGATGGATGAGAGACGATATAAGTGTGCTCTGTGCAACAAGAAGATCCCCCAGGATGAACGACGGCCAGCTACTTTATTTCTTTCTGTTTTACAGAAACATTTTTCTGTAAATGTGGAAGACTCCGACGTATTGTGTAATAAGTGTCGTCATAAGTGTAGGAAAAAGAATAAATCTTTTGCCACTGGACTCACATTATCAAGGCCAGCTCCCCAGGAGGAAAAAGAGGATCCAACTTACGCATCACCAAATCCAAAGAAAACCAGACTCTCATTTCATAGTCCTCCTTCCGTTCCCCTGCCAATTCCATCAACAACCCAAAGCCATGGTTACTGCCTTGTTTGCAAGAAACCGGGACCCAAACTTGTTACAGTTTCCCATCATGTTCGTATGTTTGTATTCATCAGTCGAGGGATAATTATCCCGTCTGGTGCAAGGTGTTGTACTCGACATTTGGAAAATGGGAAAATGACTGATGAAGCTATGGAGCAGATTAAGACGAGTGAGAGCACGACACTGAACAAAACTTCCATCACCAATCTAATCAAGGTATCATTTCTTATTTCCAACTTGGTCATACACAATATATTATACCGGATATATTGGATTACTAATAACATTAATGATGACAATAAAGCATTTATGATGAAAATATTTTAAAATATTTTAGGAATTGCGAGATAAAGCGTTTCAGCAATCGAGGCTTGACTTTGATGATGAAGGCAGCCTAGACGACAGTGACTATCAAGTGCTGACAGGATTTTCTCGTCTTGAATTTCATGACATTGTCTCAACAATTACCAGTATCAACTCCTCCAAAAATCGAAGCAAGAGGACTTGTGTAGCCATCCTGTTGATGAAACTGAGATCAGCCCTTTCAAACAAAATGCTTGCCGTTTTATTTGGCATGACTAAGTTTCAAGTAAGACTTTTAAGTAATGTTATAAAAATTGTATACAAGTAAACATTGTATATACATGTATGTACATGTATATTTATGTATATTTCTATCTCACATTTTGAAACAGGACATCTTTTACATGTATCTACTAGTATTTTTTTAACTTAGAAGTATCTCATTTTTCAGGTTCGACGAGCTATTGCATCTGCCAGAGCAGCGCTTATGAAAGACTTCGTGCCATCCAATCTTGGATTTCAGCATGTTACACGTGAAGAAGTCATTCACAACCACACTCGTGAGCTAGCTAGGGATCTTTTGACCCACGACATCACGACAAACCCTGCAATCTTGGTTTTGGATGGAACGTACGTCTACATACAGAAAAGTTCGAATTTTGCTTTTGCCCGACGATCATACAGTTTATACAAACATAGGCCCCTGGTTAAACCAATGATCGTGGTAACAACGAGTGGATACATTGTATCGGTTCTTGGGCCCTATCTGGCTGACACAAAGAATAATGACGCCAACATCCTAAAACACATGATTTATAGTAATGCTGAGGAGATAAGGAGCTGGATTCAGGAAGATGATGTCTTTGTTGTCGACCGTGGTTTCAGGGACGCCCAGGATTTGTTGGAAGACATTGGAATCAGGATGGAGATGCCTGCTTTCATGAAAAGGGGATCCAAGCAGCTCTCCACATCTGATTCTAACTTGTCTCGAGTCGTGACAAAGGTATTATAGTATTTTCTTTTAATGTAAATATATTTACATTGTATTTAGAGTCATATTTTTACCAATTAGCTATAACATAATTATTACTTTGCATATGAAATACAATAATATTATTATAGATTGAGCAGAAATAGAAGAAAACTGTTGTACGTTTTATTAAGCATTCTATTTTTTTATTTTTCAGGTTCGTTGGATTGTAGAAGCAACAAATGGGCGACTGAAACAGTGGCAGTATTTAGCTAAAACGTTACCAAACTCGCAAATCCCATTTATTGGTGACTATGTGAGAATTGTGGCGGCACTGTGCAATAAGTACAGGCCACCACTTAGTGTGTCATCCGATGAGGACAAACAACTTGCTGCAAAAATGCTTCACCTTTCAGAAAGAATCAACACATTACAGGTAAATATATATTTTCGTAGTTTTAAAATGATGCATATGTGGCATGTTCATTGTTGTCTTTAGGTCAAGGACAAAAATTACTCTGAACTAAACATTAAAATAGTTATGTCTAGTTGATGAAATAAAAAAAGAGTTGAATGTTTCTATTTCCTATTACTCTGAATTAGTAAAAGACTTTAACTTGCACAATAACCTTTTTGCATTTACAGGAACGCGTGGAAACTGAGGGACTTGACAGAAGAGGGCTGCGTTGGACTAAAGTTGATGCAGAGAATGTTGCCCCAGATTTCCCATGCTATGAAGAGACTGAATTGCGCCAACTTACTCTTGGAGTATATCAACTTCGCATGGCCCATTCCTATGCTAAAGAGCACATTGATGAAGATGGTGGATTTGAAATCTGCATTAGTGATGACATTCCTGGGTTGGTTAGTGCTAAGATTCAAAGCAGACATATAGCTGCTAAACAGTACAGATGCTGGGTTAGTTTCAGTGATGGAGTGGTGGATGGGTGGTACTGCAAATGTAAAGCTGGGACTAGAGTCGTTGGAATGTGTGGTCATGTAACCAGTGTTGTATGGTACCTCTCTTTCGGGCGTCATCAGGAGTTGGTGAAAGGGGTTCGTAACTGGACTACAACACTGGAGGACGCCTCTGACATCCAGGATATTATAGATGAATCGGATAGTGATGGTGATGACAATGGTTTGGAAGAGTGATAGAAAACAAGGAAGCATTACAGATAGAAAGAGATCAGTTACACGAAACTGTACAGTTATGCCTGAGCTCGAAAGAGACAGACTTCTTTATATCTACAATTACATTTCATTCTTGCATAATGATACAATGTTGTTTCTCAGTTTGTTGATACTTCCTCATCGAGTCACTTTGTTAACTTACATGTATTACCAAGCAGCTAAAGTGAATAATTATTTTTTAAATGATTATCATTCTGAAAGATGAAATTGACAAATGAATTGTGAATATACTATTTCTATATTTGTCAAAAAATTATTTATGTGTTTTACATCAGCCATAAAACAATATTCCTACAAGTATATGGTTTACTATACTAGTGTACGTGTTCATTAACAATAAAATAATTTTGAGTTACCCTTGCAATGACTTACTAAAATATAAATGAAAACAAGATGTGTTTGTAAAACACTATGCGACCAGCATCAACAAAGTTCGAAAAAGTTATTTTTTAACATACAGGTCACAGTTAAGGTCATTCACATTTGAAAGAACTTAATCAGTTGAGTATGCATACCAAATATGAAGTCTCTATCTTCTATGGTTAAAAAAATATGGCAAACGTCAAAAAAGCTATTTTTAGCACATAGTTGAATAGGTCACAGTCTAGGTCACATGGTCATCAACCTTGGTGTCATGTGAAAGAGTTTAATTAGTGGTGTATGCATACCAAATATGAAGTCTATATCTATCATGGTTCAAAAGTTATGGCGAAGGTTAAAGTTGACAAAAGGCAGACAGAAAAACGGGTAAACAGATAAGCAGACAGGACAAAAAAAATATAAGCCCCATAAAAAGTGAAGATTACGAATAGTGATTGATTTTTAAAAATGTATAAATGTATAATTTAATGCTCATTGGCAATATATATTTAAGTTCACTGCATTATTATGATGCCATGTCTTAAATAACTTAGTACATCTTGGAAAGAGAAATTGTGTTAATGATGATTGAACAACAGCGAGGTTAACTTTTTTTTTTATTGCTTAGCAACCCAGAACTTATATGTATACATATCTGAAAAAGATTTCTCTCAACTGAATGTAGTTCATTATAATAACCTAGCTTCAGTGAATAATTTAATAATTACCATTTCAAACATCCATTGCAGTAAAATATCAAAAAAATTAAAAGCGTCCAAAACATGGTTAAAGTAAGGCACTTAATTGACCTTTGACCTTTGATTTCCATTGGTTAGATCAAGTCGGTGATTTTATAATAATCATAAAATATTTATAATTAATTCTTATAAACATTTTACTTAATGGTACACTAAAGCACGTCACGCAAACATTCATTTTGGTAAATAATTAGTATGAAGTGAAATCCTTTGGTGTCTGATTTCGCTTTAAAAAGGGCGACGTCAAAATATAAGTACTGTACTTTGAAGAATTATATTTCAGGCGTTTTAAAAGATATCAATTTAAAATTACTATTTTTATAAATTAGATATACTGTAATAGTTTATATTGTATTTTAGTTGATTTCCTGGACCGGGCATATTTTTGCCCAAACTGTACTTTCTTCTTTGTTTTGTATATATTTATATTTAGTCCAATTCGTTTGCTATACTTGACCAGGTCATCGGTTTTGGTTTGAACACTAGTATTCTTATATCGCTGTGCTATGTCATCTACAGTCAAGATCTTCTAGTGACTGTTGAAATGTCCAGGATATACCTCAACTGACCTGACTGGTAATGATTTTCATAACCCAGTTTATGCAGAAAATAAAGAGCAACGGTGAAAGCAGACGTTGCTGTCGTACCCCCGTTTGGATTGGGAAGCTGTTTGTTATTTTTGTCGCAGATCACCTTTGCCTGGACGTCCTTGTAAAGCATCTGAATAATAGATATGATCTTGATAGAGATGCCATTATGTCTGAGGATCATCTATAAAGCTGGAGGATGTATACTGTCAAATGTTTTGGCAAAGTTGATGAAATTGGCATACAACGAAGCGTTCCATTCATTGCTCTGTTCTAAAATCTGCCTTAAGGAAAATTTCTGGTCTTTGCATGATTTTCATTTTCTGAATCCAGCTTGTTCTTTACAAAGACATGGATCTAACGCTGAGACCATTCTGTTTAAGATTACTCTGCTTCAGACTTTTCTGGTAACTGACGACATCATAATTGCTCTCCAATTATATGTGTCAGCTAACTCACCTTTCTTGGACAGCTCCACTATGAGACCAACCTTCCAATCATTTTGTGCGGTTTCTATCTGCCAAATAGTTTGCAGGACATCTATGAGAAGTCTGGATGAACCATATGTAGATAACGAACAGAATTCAACATCAAAAGTTCATAAAACGATACAAAATAAGAGCAGAGCAACACGGATCTCCAAAACATCAGAGGTGGGATCAAGTGCGATGGAGGAGTGAGCATCCCAAGCCGACCAGTCACACCCGCCGTGTGCTCCTTGTCATGATCGTCGTCAATTCAGTGTTTAAGTAATGGACTAACAATTGGTATGAAAAATCAGTCAGCATTTGACTCGATGATAAATTGTATTTGCTGACAAAGTCATTGTATCAACTATAACACTTACGAAATGATGACCTTTAACGAGTATGCAGCAATTCTTGTTTCATCAACTTGTTTGCAATTTATTTTCCTCGTTTTAGAAATTGTTCGATACGTAAAGCATGCTCTTGCGTATAGAATCAACTGAGATATATGAACTCCGTATGCAGGTGATAAAGATATATTGCTGCATAAGTAAGAGAAGTTGACGATAGAAAAGTAAGTCATCGCGTTTATCATAGAGCTTGCTCGTTTGATTACCATAAACGTATTTTTAAAGTAAAATATCTAAATATGAAACAGATGTGTCAGACTCTGTGGTATCTTTAATCTCAAGCTCACCAGGATATATCGTATCGACATAAGAATGGAAATTACCATTGTTAATTGACAATACGTCGTCGATATATCTAAATGTCGCTTCCAGTTGGGTGTTAACACTTCTTCAGCTTTTAACATTTCTTGATGTACCTGATCGATCCCTGGGGCTTTCCCATTCTTAATTTACGAAGTTTGATGGTATATTTTACTTCCTCAATTGTTGGTGCGTTGGTATCGATGTCCAAAGTGTCTATACCGTCAATAATTTCAGCATGTTCTGTTGATGGACATTCCTGGTTTAATACCCTTTCAAAATGATCCTCCCAACAGGTCAGCTCTTCTTCTATACTAGAGGCCAATTCTCCATCTTGTTTTCGCACTGGTGTTTCTGTGTTTTTGAATCCTCCACTCAGAGGTTTTGTAATGCGGTATAATGTCCCCATGTCTTGTTTGAGGCAGCGTCTTCTGCATCTTGCGCAAGCTTGTCAACATAATCGTTTTTGCCCTTTTGTGAACTGTTCTTAACTTCTTTATCTTGTATTGAGTACGTTTCTTTTAGCTGATCTTTTAGCCTAGCTGACTTGGCTGTTAGTCTTTTCTTCTTTGTTTTGCGTCTTACGTGTAGTTCGACCATTTCCCTGGTCTTAGATGAAATTAATTCTTTCTTCTTTCTTTTCAACTGCTTCAACAACTGTGGTATTTAAATGTTCAATAATTAGTTCTTGTTTATTTTTTAGCATGGCAAATTGGTTTTTAACCTTTAACTGAAATGATTTCATGACTGCAGGATCTTAAGATGACCTTTGTTCCCCTTTCTTCATTTTTCTCAATTTCAGCTTTACTAGGACAAGAGTGTGGTCACTTCCTACATTAGCCCCTCTCAATGCCCTTACATCCTGCAGTGTACCTCTCCACCTTTTATTTATCAGTACATGGGCAAATTGGGTCTGTGTGTGACCATCTGGTGAAGTCGATATAAGTTTATATATGTTCTTGTGCTGAAGATGGTGCCTTCAATAACTAACTTATTTTCTAGGCAGAAATCTATTAGTCTACTACCATTGTTGTGTATCACACCACATCCATGTTTTCGCATTATGGATTCTTTTCCTTCATTTTTGGTACCAACTTTTGCATTGAGATCACCAAGTATGATGAGTACATCATGAGCTGGTGTTTCCTCCATAGCTCTCTGCAGTTCCTTTTCTTCTTCTTCTTTGTCTTCTCTAGCAGACTACAACCGTCAGTTTAGCATATTTTGAATGGAATCTTGCAGAAAGATCTAATTTCATATACCTAGCATTTGGATATTATACCTGTCCATTTCTATTAAGACTTGGGCCAGTTTTCCTGTCTGGTACAGCTGTAGAGGGTGCAGACATTCTAGCACCCAACTTTACATACTTCTTTAGGGTGACGTATGTTCACTATCTGGGTGTCGGAGTTACTGTCATTCTTCATGTGCTTAGTTTCCTGAATAGTTTCAATCCCTCCCTTGTACAATCATCCTCGACTTTGATTTCTGTAGATGTTGATTTTTTGCATGTCGGGGTTGCTGACCCTGAGAAAAACCCCCTGGATTTGGAGGACCGGTGGTTTTCTGTCAGGGTTTTCCTTCCCTACGGTCATAAGTTCCAGTTATTTAAAGGCGCTGGAGTCTCGCCTTTCGCCACTGTCACTCAGCTTCCTGAGTATTTCCAGGGCCACCAAAACGGGAAGGTGTGACTTGTTGGCAAAAATTATTTGACAAAATCGAAGCGTTATTGGTGAATCTCCGTGACCAAAGAAACACTCCACGAGACCCTCGCCAGCATTTGACCCCACCTAATTGTATTACCAACCATTATAATTCTTCCCTTTGTAGGATACTAGTAGGTCTCCATAAGATGAATTGTGCATATTTAAAGTTATTTGAATCTCGTATTTTATCTAAATTTAATTTTTTATGTAATCTCTATCCAGTGTTCTCTTTCTGTGATTATTATTTATGAATGTGTTTCGTGGTGTTTTCCTTCAGTAGAATATTTCTGCTTGCTTATCTGTATTCCTGATTGCTGAATCAACAAGATTTTGTGAAACATGAAACCCCAGTACAAATAAAGATGTCCCAAGATAAGTGATTGTGTCCATCAAATTTTCACCAATGTTATGTATAGATGGGGATAGGGGGAATGTATAGACAAATCGTTCTACAAAAGATAAAGGTTAGAAAGTCAAGGAAATTTAAAGGTCTTTTGACAGTTTTGTTTATGTGTAACCATAAAAAATGTGTCTACATTTTGAGGTAGTCAGATTGAAGGTCAGA